ATTCCTATTCCCAATGTTATCCATAATTTTCTATGATTTACATAGTTGGCCAAACTTCGTATCTAATACTTCAGACATATTCTCAGGAGGGACCAGTTGCTGGAAAAGGATATCATGATGTTTGGTAAGGTGGAGGGTCAGAGAAAAAGAGGAAGCCCTCCAGTGAGATGGATTGGCAAAGTGGCAGCACCAATGGGCTCAAGTGTGCCAACAATTGTGAGGTTGACCCAGGACCAGGCAGTGTTTTGTTCCGTTGTACGTAGGGTCACTATGAGTCGGTACCGATTCATTGGCACTTAACAACAACAACAACATAGTCAAATGTCTTTAAATAGTCAACAAAACACAATTAAACATCTTTCTGGTAGTCTCTGCTTTCTGCCAAGATCTAGCTAAGTTCAGAAATAATATTTCTAGTTCAATGTACTTTTCTGAATCTGACTTGAATTTCTGGCAGTTCCCTGTATATGTACTTCAGCAACTGTTTTTGAATTATCTTCAGCAAAATTTTATTAGTTTGTGACATTAATGATGCTTGATAATTTCCACATTCTGTTGGATTCCTTCCTTTGGAATGGGCACAAATATGCAACTCTTCCAGTTGGCTAAGCAAACAGCTTTGTTCCAAATTTCTTAGCATAGACAAGTGAGTGCCTCTAGAATTGCATCCATTTGTTGAAACATTTCACTTGGTATTCCTTCAATTCCTAGATCTTGTTTTATTTGCCAACACCTTCAGTGCACCGTAATCTTCCTTCAATATCATCACTTCTTGTGAACATATGCTACCTCCTAAAATGGTTAAATGTCTACCGTTTTCTTTAGCTGTTTCCTGTGTATTTCCATATTTGCCCATATTGTTGTTGTTAAGTGCCACTGAGTCAGTTCCAACTCATAGCGATCCTGTATAGGGTTTCTGAGGAGCAGCTGGGGGGTTTGAGCTGCCGACTTTGGTTCGCAGTCCAGTGCTGATCCTACAGTGCCATACCAGGAGTCCATATTTGTCCACTTGCTGTCCTTGTTAAGTGTTATCGAGTGATTCTGACCCATAGCAGCCCTGTAAAGGGTTTCCAAGGAGCAGCTGGTAAGCTTGAACTGGTGACCTGGTGGTTCAAACCAACTTAAGAGTCCAGCACATTAGCTCACAGTGCCACATCAGGAGACCTATATTTGCCCATAGAATCCTTCAATATTGCAAACAGAGGTTGTTGTTGTTTAGTAACATGAAGGGTTTTTTCTTGTTTTTTCAGTTCTTCTAGCTTGAGAAATGCCAAGCATGCTATTCCCTTTTGATTATATAACTCCTGGTCTTCGAACATTTCACTATAATTCTTTACTTTGTCTTTTTAAGCTGCCCTTTGAAATCTTATATTCAGTTCTTTTACTTCATCATTTATTTGCTTTAGCTTCTCTACACTCTAGAGCAAGTTTCAGAGTCTCTTCTGACATCTATTTTGATCTTTTCTTTCTTTCCTATCTTTTTAATTACCTTTTGCTTTATTCATGTATGATATCCTTAATATTATCCCACAGCACATTGGGTCTTAGATCATTAATGTTCAATGTATCAAATATGCTCTTGATATGGTCTCTAAAATTCAGGTGGGATATACCCAATGCACTGCAGGATAATGCGTTGGACCACAAGGTCAGTTTGAGTCACAAGGTTGCTATGGGTCAGAACCATTTGAGGACACTTAACAACAACAAATGGGCAACTATGGACTCCTGGTATGGTGCTGTAGGATCAGCAGTAGGTTGTGAACCACAAGGTCAACAGTTCAAACACACCAGCCGCTCCTTGGAAACCCTATACAGCGTTGCTATGAGCTGGAACTGACTAGACGGCAATTAACAACAACACTCAAGATCATACTTGGCTCTCATAGAGTTAATTTTCTTCAGCTTCAACTTGAATCTACATGTGAGCAATTGATGGTCTAGTCCACAATTGGCCCTTGACCTTGTTCTAACTGATGATATTGAGTATCTGCATAGTCTCTTTCCACAGATGTAGTCAGTTTAATTCATGGGCTTTCCAACTAGTGTGATTCAATTGTATAGTCCCCATTTATGTTGTTGTAAAAAGGTATTTGCAATTAAGAAGACATTGGTCTTGGAAAATACTTTCAGATATCTCCAGAGTCATTTTTATCACAAAGGTCATATTTTCCAACTTGTTATCCTTCCTATTTGCTTCCAACTTTCACATTCTATTCACCAGCAATTATCAAGGCATCTGCTTGATCAATTTCTGGTTTCAGAAGTTAGTAGAAACCTTTGACTCAATCAACTTTGGCATTAGTGATTGGTGCTTAAACATGAATCATAGTTGTATTAACTGGCCTTCCTTGCATGTGTATAAATATTATCCTGACAGTAATAGGGGAGTGCTGGTATGATGCAGTGGGTTAGTGCACTGGACTTCAAGGTTGGTTTGAATCACAAAGTTGATGGTCCAAGCTCACCAGATGCTTCTTGGAAAGCCTATACAGAGTTGCTGTGAGTTGGAATCAACTTGATGACTTAACAACAACATTAATAGTGCTATACTTCAGGATAGATTTTGAAATGTTCTTTTTGCTCATGAGTGTCACACCATTTCTCTGCAATATGTCATTCCTGACATAGTAGACTATGATTACCCAATTTAAAATGGCCAATACCATTCTATTTCAGCTTACTAATGCCTAGGATATTGATTTTTATGTGTTCTGTTCCATTTCATTTCTGACAGCTTTCAATTTTTCTACATTCATACTTTGTATATCTTATGTTCTAATTATTAATGGGTGCTTTCAGCTATTTCTTCCCATTTTAAGTCCTGCCACATTCACAAATGAAGGTTCTGAAAACTTTACTACATTCACATCAAGGTTGACTCTAATTTGAGGGTGCAGCTCTTCCCATTCCACCTTGAGGAGCTAATCTGGATTTATATTGGCTTGTGTTTCATTGCTTTTCATAAACTATTCACTAGTAAGTTTTTTTTCAGACATTAACTACCATATCTGTTTTCCTAGTCTTAGTATGGAAGCTTTGCTGAATCCAGTCCACCATGGGTGACTCTTGAAATACTGGTGGTATAGCTTCTAATACCTCAGCAGCACAAAAGTTACCACAGTACAACAAAGTAACAGATGTGTGGTGGCTGCTTAATGAGCTCAGCATCTACTTGTTTCATTTCATTGTTGTTGTTGTTATTGTTAAGTGCCATCAAGTCAGTTCCAACTCATAGAGACCTTATGCATAACAGAATGAAACACTGTCTGGTCCTGTGCCATCCTCACAAATGCTGCTACACTATTCCTCATTGTTGCTGTGACTGTGCCAATCCATCTTGTTGGGGGCCTCCCTCTTTTTTGCTTTCCCTCCACTTTACTAAGCATGATGTCCTTCTCCAGGGACTTGGCCCTCCTGACAATATGTCCAAAGTATGAGATATGAAGTGATTAGTTTGTTCAGCATGGTTAATGTAAAGTAATTTAATAGGAATTCAAAGGCAATTCCCAAAAAGACTTTTAAGCAAAAATTTTAACATTAAGAACTTCATTACTTTAGCAAACATTCTAATTAAGATAAATTTTATAAAATAAATGTATCCTTCACAGTGTCAAAAATGAGCATTTTGAGGTTGAAAGCCAGTTATGAAAAAATATCATGAAGTAGTAAATAAAGTAATAACAAATGATTGTTATAACTATCTTGAAACTACAAAAAAAAACAAACTCTTATGGCAACAATAACCAATTGTTGTTAAACTATTGTAGTGACTATATTATATCTTCACAAGAACCCTATGAAGTTGGCATTATTAGTTCTATTGTATTATTTTCCATTTTATTTTCACAGGAATTACATCATTAATGAGACTTTATTATTGACTGGTGTGGCGCTGTGGGCTAATGCGTCAGACTGCAAAGTCATTTGAACTGCAAGGTCAGTGGTTCAAGCTCACCAGCTGCTCCTTGGAAACCCTATACAAGGTCGCTATGGGTCAGAATCAACTCGATGGCACTCAACAACAACAACATTATTGACTAGCTAGCTCTATGATGTGTTCAGAGTCATATAGGTGTGCAATTGTAATGCCCAGAAGTAAAATTCAAGTCTGTCTGAATCCAAAGCCTGGGCTTTTAATCACTGTATTACAAAAGGGTGACTGTAGCTTAATTTTAGCTCTTGAGGTAAAATAATCCTTATACAGAGACATGTAATAGAAAATCTTTAGGAAGCATTGTAAAAATAGTTTGGGCAGAAAAGTCAATCATCTACAACACTTTTTCCCCCATCCCACCCCTTCAAAAAAAGAAAAAGAAACTGAACCCATAGTCATTGCGTTGACTGTGACTAGCATTGACCCTGTAAGACAGAGGAGAATTGCTCCTTAGTGTTTCTGAGACTAATTCTTTTCTGGGGCAGACAGTCTCATCTTTCACCCACAATTATCTACAGGTGCCTTAATTTAGATTTAATTTGCTCTATCTAAGCAACTTCATAGCATACCACTACCACCACCAACCATCTTTATATTGGATCATGAAATTGTTGTTAAAGACTGGTAAGGCAGCCCCATAATTGTTTCTACCATATAAAAAATAAACCCAAAATATATAGAAAATCACTAAAAGTGATCGTATCCTAAATGAGATCATCATATGTGGCAATTAGTTGGTAAGAAAGAATAAATCAGATAGAAATTTTAAAAAATTTAAGCTTGCATATATGACTTGTATGAATAAAATAAAAACAATACATAAAGCTTATAGGCATAAAACATGTTATTTAATAATACCAAGTTTTGATAAAAATGATTTTAGACATTTTAGCTCAAATTATTTTTAGCATATTATATGGGAAAAAAAGTTATAATTCTACAAACTGGATTACTGGCTCTGTATTATAATCTGAATGGTTTAAAACCAAGTACTAGTCAGTATCTATAAATGTGTGTGTTTTTAATAACGGTAGGTGTGAAAGTTCAATGTTAAATGACTTACCACTATTTCTGTCGTAATTTCATGTCTGCTGAATTTATAAATGATGACATATGCCGAGACACCTGATACACAGAATATTCTGCTCTCTGGACACCAGTAAATCATCTGAATGGCATATGGATCTTCCTCTACAATTTCACATGTTTGTTTTCCTTCGCCTACCTTCTGTTTTTCAAATACTTTTGAAGTTTTTAGCTTGTACAGCATCTGCAGAGTTACTATAAAATATTGAAGCATGGTTATCTTCTAAATTTGAATTAAATACTTAATGCTTTTCAATAAATTTGCTAAACTATAAAGTGGAAAAAATTATATTTTAATTTTTAAGCATTCAATGTCATGTTATAATATACAAATATTTTTAGCTTAAGGTAGAGTACAGAAAAAAAGTCATTGAACATACATTATATTATATTCCAAGGAATATTTAAACATTATATGCGTCATCTTACGTGATCCTCAATAAAGTGGATATTTATGAAATGGATAATTTTACTCATTCTTATTGATGAAATTTGTTAGGCTTAAAACATTTGTAATGAAATATTCAACTTCATTTTATCCTAATTATCCATCCTTTTTCATAATTTATGTCTTTGATTGCTAGATAATAAGTTGATACTATCCCTAAAGGATTCACTCATCGTAAGAAATTTTTAGGTATTCTTTTAGATAAGAAACACGTGCAATTTACTAGCTAGCAATATTGGGCACCCAAGATTTTATGATTATTTTACAGAGAATCTTTTATGAGTGGTCCTGGATCAGGAAAGAGTCAGTTATAATAGCATAAAACTTTAGATTTTTGAATCGTCTATAGGAATATTTATTTGGGGGAATATTTTTCTTTCAAGAATCTGATGATAATGTTCTTAATAAAAAGCTCTGACTCTACAAAAGATATCTTAGAAAAGTTTGAAAATACCAGCTAGTGCTGGAGGTAGAATAGTGCCTACTTAATAATGTCACAATTTGAGAAATGTTTTTCTCATTTTAGGCTAAGTTAATTTTTAATATTTTGTAAGTTAATCTTTACAAACTGGGTTATTGGCCATGTAGAAAGTATTGTAATATTAAAACCCCAACAAATAGTCATTCAATTTTATGACAATTACTTTCTTTAATACATGTAATAGTGAAAATGGAATTTTAAATGATCAATTATTTCTGTAATCATTAGCTCAAGTTTCTGAAAACTCTAACATGCTTAGGGTATTTCTGGGGCTAAAATTGCATTAGCATAGAAAACATGTTAGATTTCAACGCAAGTTAAAATACAGTAGCTACTCGTGGTACTGTGGGTTAATGCACTGGACTGCAAGGTTAGTCTGAACCACAAGGTAGGCGGTTCAAGTTCACCAGCTGGTCCTCAGAAACTCAAGTCTGACAGCATTTAACCACAACAACCCCTTGGTGGTTAGTTATCTACTTGGCCAGAGGCAGACTTTCCAGATAAATAATTTAGTAGCTTTAGTGTCTGCATGCAGACTAGTATAGCAACACATTTGTTCAGATGGAAAGATGAAGGTTAAAGTTCATTCTCACAAATATCAAAGGGATGTGCTTTTATATTTCCTCTTTGATTTATGACCAATAAATCAGGTTAATTTAACAAAAATCTATTAGGTGCTAAAACTGGGCAGACAGCTGAGAAAAACACTCTATGGTATTCCTTTCATAAATGCATAATCTGAATCTAATAATGAGAAACATCAGAAAAACCTAATTTGAAGGATGTTCTACAAAATAATTGGTCTAAATTTCTCAAAAATGTTAATGCCATGAAACACAGACTCAAAGAATATTCTAGGCTTTTTACAAAAAAACTTAAAAAGATATGAAAAGTCAATGTACTATATAATCCTGAGCTATCTTTATTTTCACAATTTAAGACAATATTAAGAAAACTGACAAAAGCTGAATAAAATCAGTGGATCAAATAATTGCTGTTATTCATTACAATTGAGTTAATTATGACTCGTGGTGGCCCAATGTGTTGCAGAGTAAAACTATGCTCTAAAGGGTTTTCAAGGCCAGGACCTTTTGGAAATAGATAGGCAGGCATCTCTTCCAAGGCATCTCTGTTGTTGCTGTTGTTGTTTTTGTTAAATGCCATCAAGTAGGTTCTGACTCATAGTGACCCTGTATAGGGTGTTTCTGAGTAGAGGCTGGTGAGTTTGAACTGCTGATCCTGCAGTTCTAACCTACCTTGCAGTCCAATGTTTTATCCCACAGCTCCCTACCAGGACTCTCTGGGTGGATTCAAACTATCAACCTTTTGGCTAGTATGTGAGTTCTTAACTGTTTGAACCACCCAGGGACTCCAGATGAAATAACAGTATTGTATAGTATTAACCTTTTAATTTTGATAACTGTACTTCAATTTATGGAGCTCTGGTGGGACTGTAAGATAAGCAATGTATGGCTAACCATACAATTGGCAGTTCAAATCCACTAGCTACTCTGTGAGAAGATGAAAATGTCTGCTCCCATTTATAGTCTTGGAAACCCTACAAGTTGGAACCCATTCAATGGCAGTGGAGTTTGGGTTAAGCGCTGGGCTGCTAATAGTCAGTGGTTCAAGTCCATCATTCACTCCAGAAGAAAAAGATATAGCTGTCTGCTTCTGTAAGATTTCAGCCTTGAAAACCCTATGGAGCAGTTCTCCTCTGTTCTTTAGGGTCACTATGAGTTGGAGGTGACTGAATAGGGATTTGGTTTGGTTTAGTACTTTGGTTATGTAATAAGCAAATGTCCTTGCTTATAGGAAAAACACACTTAAGTATTTAGGCTTACGGAGTCTTGGTGTGGCACTGTGGGTTGATGAGCTGGACTGCAAAGTTGGTTTGAATTGCAAGGTTGGCGGTTCAGGCTCATCAGCTGTTCATCAGAAACCCTATATCTGGTCGCTATTGGATGGAACTGACTCAATGGCATGTAACAACAACAGTGGTATGTAGGATAAGCACTCTGCTGCTAACTGCAAGGTAGATGGGTAGATGGTTCAAACCTACTAGGTGCTCCTTAGAAACCCTATGCAGGGTTGCTATGAATCAGAGCTGACTCGAGGGCACTTAACATCAATAACAGTATTATAGCAGTACTTTGTCTGCAATTTAATAGCGAATGGTTCCAAAAGAGGTATCTAGCTAGCTAGCTATTTATCTATCAATCTATCCATATCCACACATATATTTATATATTCGCACACATACTTTTCACATACAAAATACATACAAGTATATACACACATATTATGACTATATTGGAATAGAGGAGCAAGAAGGAGAGAGAGAGAAGGATAAAACAAATATAATAATATGTTAACATTTGGGGAATCTGGGTGAAGGGTAAACAGGACTTTAAAGTACTATTTTTGCAACTTTTCTATAAATCTGAAATTATGTTAAACTAAAATAGCTCTTAAAATGGACAAAGCATTGTATTAGGAGCTGAAGTCAGATGGTATATCATTCTCATGATTACATTACATTATGGGGGAAAAGTAAATGAATTTGCAGACATAATTAAGGTCCATAATACGCTGACTTTGAGTTTATCAACAAAGAGGTTATAACCTGAATGAGCAGGGTTTTCCTGAAGACAGAGAGGAGCTCTCGCTGTCTTTGAAGGAGTGAGCCACCATGAGTTATAAAGCTGTTTAAGAACACTGAATTCTGCCCATTTCACCTGAAGCCTCAGATAAAACTGCAGCTTCAAGTCAATACTTTGATTGCAGTCTTGTGAGAGCTCAAGCAAAGGATCAGGCTAAGTTGTGCCCTGACTTCTGATCCACAGAAACTTTGAGATAGGAAATGGATGTTGAAGTTGCTAAATTGTGGTCATTTGTTACTCAACAATTAAAACCTAGTACATATCATAATGTATTTTTAGTTGATTAAAATTCATTATAACATCATTTCCTGCATTAGACAGTGTTCTGAAAAATAATTTAGAAACAAAATGAGCAAACTAATATTTCTTCAATGATATCCATCAAGTTGAAGACATAGTTGACTACTGTAAGAATTTTAAACATTCTGCAATTTCTGTTCTGAATTGATAAACCAATATTTTAAAAAACAATTTCATAAAATATTTATCCTAGCTCTGGTTGGGTAGTGGTTATGAATCAGGCTGTGAATTGCAAGGTCAGAAGTTCGAAACTACCAGCTGCTCTGCGGGAGAAAGATGAGGCTTTCTGCTCCCATAAAGATTTATAGCCTCGGAAATCCTGTGCAAGGTCACTATGAGTCGGAACCGACTCCACAGCACATAACCACCACCACCAGGAGCACTTTAGTAATTACAGTGTTTATGTGTCTTGTTATGTTTTGGAAGCTCAGGGATGATTTTGAAGTGATGGGAAGGGAGCAATGGTATTGCTCGGCAATCAATTTAGTTCTAGGAATAAACTCAGATATACACAAAAGGAATCATTAAAAGAAAAACTCTGTCCTTTGGAATTTCTCTTGAGCATTTGTTCTTTTACTGAATGAGGTCAGAAAGTGACCTCAGAAATCATGGCTTTAATTATTTTAATCTTTTGGTCTTATTGATGTTCTGCTCAGTTCTTGAGGGACTCTAACTCGTGGGCTAAGCGTATTATCAAAATTCACCATTTTTTCCTCTGCTTTTCTGATTATCACTGTCATCCTCAGAAGCTATTTACTCTTGAAGATTCATTTAACGCTTTTGTGCTGCTTCTTCCTTTGTTTTCATTTCTGTCTATTCTCCCTGCCTATGGACATATTCATTTGAAGTTCCTGGCTTTACCATAAAATTTGAACCGTCAAATCTCTCCTATATTTATTTTCAGAAGACTTACCCACATCTTCCTGATTACTTATACTCAGAAACCTAGAGTGAATTCTCCCTTGTTCTTCTCTTGCAAAATCTTAACTGAACTATCAAATACATTAAATGTCACTCCATCAAAATTCCCTTCCTGGAGCTACCTGATTCAAATAAATCTCTCCCATGTCTGTTCACAAATAATGTCTGGATTGTACTATATTTAAGGAGTCCAGGTGTGGCACAGTAGGATAAGCACTGGACTGCTAGTCAAAAGGTTGGTGGTTCAAACCCACCAATCACTCCTTGGAAACTCTATACAGGGTTGCTATGAGTCAGAACCAACTCAATGGAACTTAACAACAAACAACAACTATATCTATAGTTCTTATATTATTTTCCCTATAGCTATATAGAAAGAGGGAGTTCTGGGGTGGTGCTTTGGGTTAATGCGCCAGACTGCAAAACCGATTGAACTGCAAGGTTGGCAGTTCAAGCTCACCAGCCGCTCCTTGGAAACCCTATCCAGGGTTGCTATAGGTCGGAACTGACTCAGTGGCACTTAACAACAATAACATATAGAAAGAGGAGTCCTGGTGTGGCGCTGTGGGCTAATGTGCCAAATTGCAAAGTCGTTTGAACTGCAAGGTCGTTGGTTCAAGCTCACCAGATGCTCCTTGGAAACCCTGTAAAGGGTCGCTATGGGTCGGAACTGACTCGACGACACTTAGCAACAACAACAACATATAGAAAGAGCTCTAGCAGTGTAGTGATTACAAGTTGGGCTACTAACCTCAAGGTCAGCAGTTTGAAACCAGCAGCCGTTCCGTGGGAAAAAGATGAGGCTTTCTGTTACCATAAGATTTATAGCTCAGAAACCCAATTCAGGTCTGCTATGACTCTGAACCAACTCCATGGCACATTACCACCACCATCACCATAGCTGTATAGATATATTCCTTTATCTTTTCTAGTAAGTTTTCTGAAGTGTATAGACATAATCAACAAATATCTTTTCATGTCCTTCAATACCGAGCAGAATATTAGTAGTCCTTACATAATTCTCAAGAGTTCTACATTTTTCAATATATTTCTTTTGAGTTTCGTAAGACTTGACAGATAACTGGGGAAGAAAACTGAATAGTTCAGGGATGAAAGAACTTGTGTAAAACCACACAAATAGGAGGTGAAGGAAGTTGCTTGAACACAGTTAATCTGACAAAGTTTGGTACAAGTCTATTACACCATGCTTCTTGTAGGTATGTTGTCTGTTGCTAAGTGCCGTTGAGTCAGTTCCGACCCATCGTGACTCTGTATAGGATTTCCAAGGAGCAGCTGGTAAGCTTGAACTGCCAAAATTGCTGTTCAAATGACTTTGCATTCCGGAACATTAACCCCCAGAGCCACACCAGGTATAATAGGATGCTGATATTGACTTATTTATTTTACACTACAGAATAAAAGTACAATGAAATTGCACCTTAAAGCAATCTAAGAACAGAAACAATAGAATTTTTTCAACACAACTATCTATCTAACTATCTATCTATCTATCTATCTATCTATCTATCTATCTATCTATCTATCCCAAACTAAAAAAGCAATAATTGGTTATAGTATTAATAAAGTATTCTCTGTTATACAAAGAGAAAGTTAAAACTTACTTGCAGAAGCATCCCAAAATTTTACTGATCCATCTGCATGACTAGATAAGAAATAAATTAGCATTCATTAAAATATAATAAATATAAAATCATAATCACTCTAAAAGCACAAAAAGACATGTCACTACTATTAAATTTTAAATTAGCAATACCATTCCAATTATACCAATGTATGATACATCACCTCTAAGATCATTGAGCCACAAGATCAGCAGTTCAAACTCACAAGTTACTCCTCAGAAACCCTGTACAGGGTTGCTTTGAGTTGGCATCAACTCGACAGCACTTAACAACAACAACAACAAGATCAAAACAATGGTTTATTATTATTACTATTTTAAATTATTAAAATCTAAGTTTAGAAAGAGGACAAGTATTCCTTGGATCTTACTGTAAGCAGACTTAGTATGTAATAGAGAGCTACAAAAACTGACCTTTAAAAAATGAACAGAAAGGTTATAGCCCCTTAGCCATGAAGTGACTGGCTTACAAGCTTTCATAAGGGTGCTTAGTGTCAGAGTGAGGGGGTGAAATAGAATCCCCACTGAATACTTTTCCTCTTATCCAGATAGGTCTGGTGAAAGTGGATGGTGGATGATGGGGATAGGATTTTATAATTCAACTGAGAGTAACTGTTATCAGGACTAATGGCAATCTCACAACTGTAAATGTAGAAGAGCTGCAACAAAAAGGGAGGAGCAGTTAATCTGTCATCTCAGGAACAGAGGATCCTAAAACCATCAAGACGGAAGAGCATGAGAGGAGTAAGGGATCCTAAGCAGAAAAGCAGAAAAAACAGAGATGGTGGCAGAGGCGACAGCAAAAAGAAATGGAGCAGCAGAGGACTATAGGCCCAATAGACTGAGAAAGGCAGTGTGCCTATGGGCAGGAAGCTGGCTTGCAAAATGTGTCCTTTGGACATTTAAAAGAATATATATTTTCAGTGTGGTTATGTACATTAAGGAGCTCTGGTAGCATGGTGGTTATGAATCGGGCTGCGAACCTTAAGGCCAGCAGTTCAAAACTACCAGCTGCTCCGCGGGAGAAAGATGAGGCGTTCTGCTCCCGTAAAGACTTAAAGCCTCGGAAACTCTGTACAGGGTCGCTATGGGCCGGAACCGACTTGACGGCACTTAACAACAACATATGTACATTAAAAGGAGCTCTGGTGGCACAGTGGTTACAAATTAGGCTGCAAACCGCAAGGTCGGCAGTTCAAAACTACCAGCTATTCCACAGGAGAAAGATGAGGTTTTCTGCTCCCGTGAAGATTTACAGCCTCGGAAACCCTGTACAGGGTCGCAATGAGTCGGAACCAACTCCACGGCACATAACCACCCCACCATATGTGCATTAAAAAAAAAAAAAAAAAAGGTGATAGAAGTAAACACTGTTAACTCATTGTACATGGAGGGGATCGTAATCCCTGCAAAGATCTGTTGAATGTAAAACTGATGATCTGCACTGTAAACCTTCACTCAGTTTATAATAAAACCTTCAAATAAAATTAAAAGAGCATTATATTTTCATTTAAAATGGTTTAACCTCAATGAAAAAAGATGCCTGAATTATTTTTATTACATCAAAATAGATTTAAAATAAGTATCATAGTTATATTAAAGTTAAGCTTCAAAATACAAAAAGTAAATCACTTAAATCTATTGAGAGTTGCACAAATATGTGCAATCCTATAAAAATTCATCTAAAAAGTAGAAGATGGAATATTCCCAGCACATGTTAATAGTTCACCATTACCCTGACACCAAAACCAGAAAAGGCTATTGTAATAAAATTCTAAATCATTATCATGAGCATAAATGGATAAAAATCCTTAACAAAATATTTTAACAAATCAAATACAGCAATATACAGGCAATACTCATACATCGTGGGTAGCAGGGCTTTTCCAGAAATGCAAGGGAAGTGGAATATTTTAAAATATCAATCAAGGTGATTCATCATATTGATAAATTAAAGAAGAAAAGCCATATAATCATCTTAGTAGAAAAAGAAAAATGGACCATTCATTAATGAATTACATTCTCATCAAATGAGGAATATAAGGAAATTTTTTCAATCTAATAAAAAAGGAGCTCTGGTAGCGTAGTGGTTACGAATCGGGCTGCGAACCTTAAGGTCAGCGGTTCGAAACTACCAGCTGCTCTGCGGGAGAAAGATGAGGCTTTCTACTCCCGTAAAGATTTACACCCTCGGAAACCCTGTACAGGGTCGCTATGGGTCGGAACCGACTCGACGGCACTTAACAACAACAATAAAAATTTAAATTTTTTCATTTTTTTTAGTATTAATCTTAATCTCATCTAAGAAAAACGTACAGTTAACATCACATATAAAGGTGAAAGACTAAATGCTCTTCCCCACTAAGATAACGCAAATGTTCACTCTCACCATTCTTATTTAACATCATATTTGAGGTCCTATCAACTGCCAGTAAGAGAAGAAAAAGAAATAAAAGGCATACAGATTGAAAAGGATGAAATAAAATTGCCTGTATTTCCAGACCTCATGACCAGCTATGAGAAAATCTGAAGGCATCTCTAAAAAGGATACTATAACATACGAATTTAGCACAGAAAATGTCAACATGCAAAAAAGTCAATGTATAAAAATAAACTGTATTTTTAAGTATTGGCAATGAACCTCTAGAAATTTAGATTAAAAAGCAGTATCATTTATAATAGGGCCCAAACCATAAATAATTAAGTATATGTTTAACAAAATTTGTATGCTAAAATTATATGATGATGATAAAGAAATAAAAAAGATTTAAATAAACGAAGAGATATAGTCTTGACTTACTAAATTGTCAGTTTTCCCCAATTTACGTGTAGAATCAGTGTAATCTCAATCAAAATACGAAAAGTTTTTTTTATAGAAATCAACAAACTAATTTTAAAATTTAAATTAAAAAGTCAAGTAATAGGCAAATACATTTTGAAAAAGAAAAATGCATCTCATTCCAAATCTAAAATAACTAAGATTGTGTTAATGAGAGGAGGTAAAAAAGAGGGACTTATATCAGTGGAACATAGAAAATGAACCACACATACTTTTATATTTCCAGCTTGGACAGGGAGTGGGGACAGAGGGGGAGCATGATGCTGACCGAGTGGCTTGCTTTAATTTTTTTAAAAGCAGTTTCATTGAGGTATAATTTACATGCAACTTACCCATTTTAAGAGTACAGCTTGGAAATTTTTATTAAATGTCTACAGCTGTCTAATAAATACCATAGTCCAGTTCTATAACATTTCCATCACCCCAAAAAGTTCACTTCTGACAATTATAATCCTCTTTCCCACTCCCAGGCCAAGATCATCGTTTTCAGTTCCTATTACTTTGTCTTTTTTTCTTAGGATTTTCATGGAAATGGGATCCATACTACATTAGACTTTTTTGTCTACATTTATTACTTAGTATAATGTTTTTGAGGTTCATCCCTGCTGTTGCATATATCAATAATTTGTCCCTGTTTATGGCTGGATATAGATATACTCAATTTAGTTTACTTATTGGCCAGCTGATGAACATTCAGGCTATTTTCCATTTTGCGCTACCAGAAATAAAGCTGCTTTCAAGTTTTCACATTTTTAAGTGCTCTACAGGTCAGTGGTTCAAGCTCACCAGCTGCTCTTTGGAAACCCTATACAGGGTCGCTATGGATTGGAATTGACTCAACAGCACTTAATAAAACAACAACCTATATACATGGGAGTCCTAGTGTGGTGCTTTAGGTTAAACACTGAACTGAAAGGTCAGTTTGAACCACAAGGTCAGCAGTTCAAACTCACTAGCTGCTCCTAGGAAACCCTATTGCTGTGTGTTCTTAAGTGCTGTTGAGTCGGTTCTGACTCACAGTGACACTGTATAGGGTTTTCAAGGAGAGGCTGGTGAGTTTGAACCACTGACTTTACAGTTCAAACCAATCTTGCAGTCCAGTGCTTACCTACAGCATCAGACCAGGACTCCTCTATACATCATCTTTGGTATTTTCTATTTCTAATATGCAATATTTTATATGAAAAGAACAATAAATGTTAATTCACAGAACACATTGAAACTTTGAGTTGACCACTCTAGTAAAAAAACAAACATTACTAACAACTTGTGTGTACATATGTTAGCCTATTATGTCTCCCTGCCTCCATTTCCTCTAGAAGCAGCTACAATCCAGAATTATTTGATCACTCTTACTTTTCTTTATAATATAGTCACATATATGCATATGTATGGATAAACAATAAATATATTGTCAATTTGCTATAAAACTTGTGTTTTCACTTAATATATTATTTACCAATTGAATCCACACTGTTGCCTGTAACTGTATCTTATTCATTTTTGTTACATATAATAGTCCCTTATGTGATCATAATATAATTTCAGTTATTGGATATTTGATTTTTTGTTTGCTTTTTATGTTTTCTTATTACTATTACAAATAGTGTTTGTTGTTGTTGTCATGTGCTGTGGAACTGGTTCCGACTTATAGCAACCCTGTACAGTGTTTCCAAAGCTGTAAATCTTTACGGGAGTAGAAAGCCTCATCTTTCTCCTGTGGAACAGCTGGTAGTTTCAAACTGCTGACCTTGAGGTTCACAGCCCGATTTGTAACCACTACGTTACCAAAGGAATGAGTAATTTTGTTAAAGTCTTTTGTTATATACATGCAAGAATGGAGTTGATGGATCTTAGGGTATGAAAGGACTTTTAGTGTGGTGCTGTAGGATCAACACTGGGCTGTGAACCACAAGGTCAGCAGTTCAAATGTGGAAATTTAAACTGCTCCTCAGAAACCCTTGTTGTTGTTAAGTGCTATCAAGTCAGTTTTGATCCATATTGCCCCTGTACAGGGTTTTCAAGGGGCTGCTGGTGAGCTTGAACCACTGACCTTGTGGCGCAAAGCAACTTTGCAGTCCAGCACATTAAAAGCACAGTGCCACATCAGGATTCCCAGAAACCCTTATACAGAGTTACTATGAGTCAGAACTGACTCAATGGCATTTAACAACAGGGTATT